AGGAACTAGTTCGATTTATGGGCGATGTTTAGCTGAAAATACTCCATTTACCACTAATGAGATAAACAGTTCCTTATCTGAGGAAATCATCCACGAGTTTATTGATGGAAAACTTTACAGTCTGTTGATTGACACTGGTTCTGCAGTTACAATTGTTCAATCCAATTTGTCAAAGAATTATGGACAATTTCCTACAAAGATGAAGAAGGAAAGATTGATGCAAACAGCAAATGGACATAAAGTTCCAGCAAAAGAGAAATTGGAAGTCACTCCTACTGTAGGAAGTTTCTTTACCTCTCATGATGTGTGGGATATTGAAGGTGAGAAAGAGTGCTTATTGTTAAATGACTTCATACAGAGAGAGAAGGTTGTGAGTTTAGGCTAGCTTCAGATAGCCTCATAGTCTATGACCAGAAAATCCCGTTATACTGGATGGCAATTACAACACCAAAGGTTTAACTTCCAGTGACAACAAAGGAGGGTGGTCATTGTACCACCAAGAAATGAAATACTAATTCCAAGAATTATTAGCAATAATTCTTCACCTATTAACTGGGGTATAGTGGAACCAGCCAGTCTGACATGTCCTAAGAACATGGTTGGAAGAGCGTCTTGTGGATATGAAGAATAAAGATGTCATGCACGACTCTACCCAGGAAGAACTTAAATAAACCTGTGATGGAATGAATAATCACTATGATGTCAATGCTGATAAAACCAGATTTCATCAACGTGACATAGTAGGGCTGAATAATTCCATTAGAAGGAAGGGAAAACTCTTAAAGTAGATGTTTTGAAGGGCCATATGTCGTATTGAAATGAGTTAAATAATCTAGAAAGGCAGACAATCCAAGGCAAAGGTCATTCATTGTAATTGTCTTTGGAAGTACACCAATGAGAGAATGGCCAACTGGATAACTCCAGAGAAGAATTTCTCAGCAGAAACTCGACCTACTGAGGATCCCAGGGTTTCTGTCGAGACCACTTCCAGAGGATCATCAAGGATGGAACCATCAGTGGTTCACTGGATCACCTACCTAGGAAGAACTCTTTTAATGACAGAACAACCTGTGAAAACAAGGGACAAGATGTCATCTCATTTGTATAGCATAGACCTCGGAGGGAGGGAGAAAACAACAAAAAGAAACTTGTGGAACAGACAGTTTAGTACAGTGCTTCATTTTTGTTTTAAGTTTGTTAAAGAGACTGTAGAATCCAAGAAGGGAACAGTGTTGTAAGCTATATTTTCAATGCTTTAATTTAGATGCCTGGGGAATTGTAGATGAACTAAAGTTTTAATATTCTAATGTTGCAAACTGACTTCGTATATGTGTTGAACAAACATTTTGTTAATTTATGTAATATTTTGGTTTACTAACTGTTACTGGAATTGTGGATGGATTAACAACTTTCTTTTAAAAAAGGGGCATATGTTGAAATTTCAGCTCAGACAGCCAATAACTCTAATATATTTATGAATGTATTTTCCTCACCAAAACATAAATTTCCGCGAATAAAAGATGACGTAATGGCCTCATCTATTCTTTGATTTATTATTTTTCTTGCATCAGAATAGTTTTGTTGAATTCACAGCTCATCAGTGCTGCTTGGAAGAAGAGGGTAAGTAAACAAGTTAGATCTTATATTGTGAAGGATCAGATGTTATCTAAAGAGCTAAAGTACTTTAAGTTTTTAATGATGAGTAAACAACTATACACAAAAATCAAACAAACTTTAACATAGTGGCAATATACCACTAGTTACACAAGCTGTTTTTAAAATGTTGACAATTTTTTCTAAAATAAACTTTATAATACGTTAACATCGCTAGAGGGTCAAAATGAGCATTTTGCATCAAATTAAATTACTTAAAACATCATAAATATAGAACTTTGACTTTTGCATCTTTAGTTTCAAAGAATTTAAAATACAAGTTTTGCTATACATCTAAATTACATTAAATGAGTTGTGGTATGTAGGCGTATCATGCATTTTTTGTGTTAATTTACAATTTTTCAAAATTTGTTATTCTATGTATACGTAATTTTCACATAATACATGGTCATGAAAGTCATTAGCTTACTATCGCTCTAGCTACCTTTTCTTTGTCATTTCCTTCAGGTAGCACCCGGTCTGGCCACGAGATGTGTGGTGTAAAGCTACACTATGTGCAAGAATGTGGACAGCAGTGTCTTCCAATGGCAGGTTAGATTACAACATCCTTTATTTTCAAGTGGAAATATCCAGTCACATGGGTAGGGTTAGTTGCTCTGGGTAAGTCTTACATCCCCATTTAACTAATTAAAGTTTAGTCAATTTGGAACAGTATCTCAACCATGGATGTCAGAAAAGAATTTAGTCTAGATCCAATAAAAGCAAGTACACACACTGCATAGTATAAAGATTGTTCCTTGTATTTTTGCACAATTGTGTCCAGTTTCTTTCTGGGAATCACTTTGTAATAAATATCTTAGTCGAATCTCCTGTTATTTAAAGGTTGTTATTAACCACAAAGCTACATAATGGGCTATCTGTGCTCTGCCTACCACAGGTATCAAAACCAGATTTTTAGCACCATAAGCCTGATAACTTCTCACTGAGCTACTGGAGGGGTTATTTAGCAGACCATCTTCTCACTCTAAGGGAAATCAGTTTGACTTTAAAATACCAAAGTTTATTATATCAATATATTATAATGTGTACCTTAGTTGTCTAAGAAACCATGTTCTGTATGACAGTTTTTATATTCTTTATAAAAGTTGAATAACTCGTTTTATTTTTTATTCATAGCTTTCTAAGAAAGCAAAACAAACAACTTCAAATACTTGCAAAGCTACACAAGGGCTATATATCCAGCCAAAATTTTGAACTGACAGACTAGAGGGAAGACAACTTGTCAACAGCACCTACCACCAACTCTTGGACTACCCTAATAGAATGGTTGGATTTGATCAGTCTTATTAACAAACCCATGACCCCAAAGTACAATGGGTGATTTTGTCTTGGTGGTAATGGGGTGAGAACCACTGACTTGCAGTCCAGCATATTAATCAATAACTACTGGGCCACTTTCGGCCTAAGAAACAAATCTTTCTTAGCATAATGAAGGGCCTTTAATGTAAGACAAGGATGTTTTATATTATACCAAACTATTGAGTTTTCCTGTGCTTACTTATGCAGATCATGATATTTGATCTAGAGCAGTGTTTCTCAATCTGTGTTGTTCATCACTGACAGAGTGAAGAGAAATATACATCTTAGCAAAATAACAGTTCGTTACTTTTCATAGACTATTAGAAATCAATTAAAGTATAGAACAACATCTCATATTGGCAATGAAAGATGCGAGAAGCCAAAAAATAAAAGACAGTTGAAGTTTTAATGACCATGACTGATCCTACCAGAAACTCTTATTGTTCTTAAAGTGTTCTACAAGTTGAACACCTTAGTGTTACAAGATAATTGAAAAGGAGTGAAATATGTTTACTGAGTTGGTTGATACTGGACCCATGTTATGAAATAAAATGAATAAGAACAGACAAGTTTAACAGTATAGTTGTGGAAGAACAGATGTTACTGTCTTTGGTCCATTATTGTAGTTCATTGATAGAAAAAAAAGCATTATAGTACTGCTGATCCAAACCAAGAAGATGAAATACTGTAAGGAAGCTTTTTAAAAGATATGGAAAATCCATGATGCTTTATTGTGATGAAGGAAAGAATCTGGAATCAATGCCCTTAACTGAAATGTGTAAAATCTTGCGAACATAAGCACCAACATCTACATGATGAATTAAAATTTGATGACGAGGAACCCACTTTGAGACTAATTATGCTTGGAGACAGCTCGAATTGGGTAATGAAGAAAAACTTTAATATAAGTTTAACATAACAGCAAATGAACAACGTTTTGTCATCATCATGAACAGAACAACAACCCATGAAACATCACTTATGTTTGGGTGAAGGGTATAAATCACCACTGAACATTTAACATGGTTGTTCTGAAAATAATACTAATAATACTACAGATAATAAACCACTTACATGAGAGAAACCATTGAAAATGTCATGAATTTGCTACTGAGAATCTGAAGTCAACCAGTGACAAGACAATATTTTGTCTATGTGGACAGGTTTAAGTTCTAACTTGCATGAGGATATAAAGTGTAAGATTAAGTTCCAAGATGCATGAGGATATACACTGTAAAATCAAGTTGCATGAGAATATGCAACATAATTTTAAGTTCCAAGTGCAACGTAGTACCTGTAGTGTTGTTGTCTTCCCCATATTAATATTATTTGGCAGGTATAGATGAATTATCATTTGTGTTGTGTGTGTTATGTATCCCAAGAATTCACTGTGTGTCTTTACTGAGTCAAGTTGGTCAATGCTAACGTAGATGATCTAGTGCCAGAATGAAATGTCAAACTAAGAGGAATTGTCATAATATCATTGGTTAACATTATTAAGCCAATCTAAAACATTGTATTTGTATAACTTATACTTAAGATAATGAAGATATATCTTGGATAAGAAGTTTCCAGTAAATGTTACATTGTATATATAAAGATAAAGGTGTACACACATGCCAGTTGTTAATAATTATGAAATAATTCATAATTAGCTAAAAATCAAATCATAGATATAAGGTCTGTTAGCAAATTTATCAATTCCAAATGTCACTGTTAGTCTGAGCTTTGTGAGCTAACATTCAGTAATTTGAATAGGGCCAAGTTTTAAGCAGAACTGTGCCGACACACTTTACTTGTTTATAATATCAAAGAAAGACTAAATCCAACATTTTATTGAATTTAGAAGATATGATACAAGTGGATGCATAGTATTTTTATCTGTTTAATAATTACCATAAAGTTGTAGAAAGTTATTTGCAATATCTTATCTTGTAGTGTAAAACAAATAATAAAATCTTTAAAAAAAATTATTTGATGTATGCTCTTTACTGTAACGCAAAGGTAAAAATAACAAAAACTAACAGTAACATAAGACTTGAAACTTTTATTGATTAAAGAAGATGTTCACAAGTTTGAAATATACAGTTTCATACGTATTTTATAAAACCCAAACTTCCACGGTTCTCCTACACAAGAACTATGAGAATTCAAACTAGGTTTTAATTTGAACCTTTAATAAATGGTAGAAAAATAACCATTTCATCTTAACTTGTACAGCTGTAAACTAGGAAAACATACAGATTAGCCACTTGCCAAGGTCAGGAGAAAAGCATTTATACAGCTAGGATTTAAAAATGGAGGTATTTAAGTACAAACAATTTCAATTGTTACAAACTGCATTCTGAAAAATTGTTGAAAGACAGAAATGAAAGCCAATCATTGGTACTTTTGAAAATTTAAAACTCAAAACCTCTTGGCAAATGGAAGTGATACTGAAGTTTTTGTTTTTTGTGAACAATAATAATGTTCTGAGGTAGCTTAAAACTGAACAATGAAATCTGACACATAACATAGCACAATAGATACCTTCAAAATGAATGTATAATGGATAAATTACTCTTAAAAGTCTGCAGTCAAACAAGATGACCAAGGACACAAGAAATTTCAAATTGTACTAGAAATATTTGGGCTAAAAGCTTAATGAATAAAATAAATCAATTATATTTTATCTAAATTAATGGAATGATGAATTTCATCAAGAGATTCCTGGTGATCTGGTTTGTCTGTTTACTATTCATGTTTTCACATAATGCCATTAAAATCCTACAACTTACAGGAATGAAACATTCATTTTAAAAAAACAACAAAACTGCATATTTTACTAAAACATAAAATATATATGGCAGCCAATGTTTTCAGTGTTATGCTTCTAAATCCTACTATTACTATTGTATCCAAATAGATATAAGTAAACGCTTATGTCTCCTGGAGAAATCAAGGAACATCTAATGTAAATCTGTTAGCACAATGCATAGTGGCCTTCTTTAGAACTTTTCCAACTCTAGAACACTCTCTAACAATAAGACATATATAAGATGAATTACCTACAAGATAAAAACTGCCTGGAAATGTTAACAACACTAAAAAAGTTGCTCTTATTGACTTCTGAAAACTTTTGCACTAGTTTTTAAACTCTTATGACTATTGAAAACAAATCATCAAGAAATGGTGTGACTATCTCAGAATCTAGTGTATTCTTTCAATTTAGTTCCATATTGTAATTTACAGATACTTTAGGTCCTTTTAAAAACACAAAGATAAGTGTAGCTATCTTACAATTCAGTGTATTTCAATAAAATTCTTTCAGCTAGCTTTCTAACTTAATTTTAAGATAACTTTGGTCCTTCTAAAAACAGATAATCAAGAATAAGTGAATTATTTTTTTTTATGGAAACTAAAACATTCAGCTAGTTTTCTAACATATTTTTCTTAGCCCTTAGAAAATCTCTAAAAATAATTCAAGGGAAAGTGTATCCAATAGTCTATTCAACAAAAAAATCTTTTAAAAACTTTTTTCACTTTGTTTTTAAGGTCTTTAAATTGTCTCAAAAGAGGCCATGAAGAAAAATCAATACAAAGTTAAAAACAACCTATTTCAGCATTTAAATTATTTTTCTAACTTCGGTTTTCAAGGCTTTAATTCCTCTTAAAATAGGTTATCAGAGAAAGGTATAGTCAATTTAGAAAATAATTTATCCTAATGAAAAAAATCTATTAGATTATCATTCTATCTCAATTTACCGATACCGTACATCTTTTTACAACAGGTTAAATGAAAGAAAGATGTAGCCAACTTAGAACCAACTCTACTATCTGAACATTGACAAAAACACATTAGTAAGTGATAAGTGACAGGATTTAAACTCAGATCTCTTCTTGCTCCATTAGTGGAACATCAGTCAAACCAAATTTTTAAGTTTCATATAAAGTTTTGTTAAAATATACTCATAAAATATATCTACCAATATGATTAAAATACTATTATTGACATACTGTACATCTATTCTTAATTAAATGGTGTGGTTAATATATCAGCATAACACAAAGAATAAAAAAAACCATCTAAAAGGGTCAATTCTTTAAATATGAAAAGAGTTTTTGACCATAAACATTAGTTACACACAAAAATTGCATACACATAGTATATATATTTACATAGTAAGCTATGTACACAATATCATATTTTTACATCTCTGTACTTTTCTGCAGACAAAATTTCCCAATAACTAAAGCCAGGATGAGAGAAAAAAATAATAATATAAAGAAAATAAAGACAAATTATTTATTGTATCACGTATTTCTGAATTATCATTTCAAAACCGACATAGTGTATTGTATGTAAACTCTTTAACAGAACAACGTTTAAAACAAAGATACCTTATGAACTTAGGACTATAAAATTACACCTTAGCTTCCAAAAAATCTACTGCTTTTATGTCTTATAGTAGGCCAAAAATCTCTTATGCTTCATAATATTTTCAACAAAGAACAAATGTCAAAGTGAAAGTGAACAGCTTTCATTAACTACTTCCACAAGTTTACCAGCAAGTACAATGTGGCCACAGTACCTAAAACCCGTTTTCAAGACAGTAGGTAATATAGGACACAATAAACAAAGACAATTAAAGACTTTCTCCAAACACAACTCTTCATAAAGACAACTGATCTCTGCACATACACAGTGATTCACTCCATATATACATACCACTACTCTGGGTTAGCAATAAAATGTAAGTAGTACTTTCAATGGTTTACATAAAGAAGGGAACACTGCTATAGCCTCCACATTATGGCTTTACCTATGAGCATTACATAAGATGTGCAACTCTTTCTTTGAACAACAATAATGAAACATCGTGCTGCCTTTGAGATAAAAAAGACAGATGTCTAAACTACAATATGAAGCACAACACTTGTGTACATACACATATATTCAATCCTTAAATCATGGTCCTCAAGATGAGGCACCAGAAAAAGTTACACTTCATTTGTGAGCTAGTAACAAGCTTTTACCTATAATTTTACAAATAGATGGTAACCTCTCAACTCTATTTAAATATTACACCATTATACACAAAACTTCAGTGAATTAAGTTTTCAGCATACAAAAAACACACCATCAGTATATGTGTATTCATCATGAATAGCCATGAGCTCTCAAATAATTATTATCAAAACTTATTTAATATATATATATTTCATTTTCAACCTTTTCTTGGCAATGGTTATTTAGAATTTAAATGCATCCATTCACTTGTATTTGCAAAAGAATATGCATAAATTTATGCTATTTTGATACAACACAAAAAAACAAACAAAATGGTTACTTTATGTGAATGTGTGTTCTTGTTTTCTTATAGCAAAGCCACTTCAGGCCATCTGCTGTGTCCACTGAGGGGAATCGAACCCCTGATTTTAGTGTTGTAAATCTGAAGACATACCGCCATCCCACTGGGGGACTTGCATGAATGAAAAAAAAATTATTGGATATTGTGACAACACACACTTGAATGACCAATCTGGGATAATATTAGTAAAATAACCATTGCAATATTTCCTTTACCAGAAGTAGGTCATGTACATGAGGATTATTTATCTTAAGCTCCCAAGCATAAAAGAGTAGCGAGACAATTTGAATAAAAATAATTTTAAATTTTTCTACAGGTTACATCATGTATATCTAACATATTATTTAATATATTAAAAGATATTTTATTGCAGAATACTACTGACATACTAATATAAAAGGTTAATACCTTAGAAGCAGAAAATTAATGCTTAATAAAAAACTTCAGACACTTTGAAATGCAGTAATCGTATTTTCAGTGACAGTGGAATGAAACTGCATTCAAATTAAATAACTGACATCGCTCAACTTTTATTCATTTTCAAGTCTTAACAGAAGTCACAATACCTTTTGTTATAAATATTTACTTTGTACTTTCTTGGTAACAACTTTCATCTACAAACCTTGTTAGTTTTGTATCCACATTCATTAATAGTTACTATATTCTAAAAGCCAAAAAATGAAGTTTTAAAACTACTCAAGAAAATGTTTTACAGAATCAAAAACTTCCATTATCTATAGACACCCTGTCTGCATTAGTAATCAACAGAAATATTAAAGTAAGGTCTTTTTACACTTCTTTATGTGCAGCCTATTAACAATTATACAAATTAAATGTAAAACCATTTGTTTTGCTGAAACAAAATACCAGTGAATACCTTGAATCTGGATATGTTAAACAGAAGAAATCCTAGTTTTAAAAGTCCAGTGACTTTGCCATCTGCTGTTATTTTAAAAATACTACTAACTTAAAAACGAATTTTGTATGGCTAGACAGGCAGTTGGGATTTTAGAATCCTTAAATATGAACGATAATTCATTCTTAAAACCTATACAATTTTTCATCTGGTGTTTCAGCTGATGCAGAGGTTTGTACCTTGGTTTTAACTGTATCCCTCCTTTTGAATTTCCTATTTTAACTAAGATGTTCTGTTTTTGAGAAGATTTTGAATGTTTCACAATTTCTTTGTAATTGCAATTCAAATTATTATTGTTTTACTATTGCTCATTTTACCCTAAACACATTCCAGTATGTCTGACAATTTTGTTTTCATTTAACTTTTTTTTTTCACCATTGTAGCTGTCTTACTACTGACTTCTAAACTTTGGCAAATCAACTACCAACACAGATTAACTAAAATAAACGTTCTGCTTATACTAACAGTACCATATCTATTGAATCCAAATATTCTGATAGATCTCAATAGATCCTGCTGTAATCCTGTAACAGAAATAATACAAGTGTAATTTTTTCAGGTGTCCCATACAAAAATACAAATTATAATAAAGTATTATGTCCATTTACATAAAATGAGGGAACATCTTAGAGGGACTACTGTACGAAATGACTCCCTGAGTTGGAGCCCTCCAAGTATGCACCACAGTAAAAGTATAATGAGGTAGGAGAAAATGCTTTACTGATGCTTAAACTCAGCTAACCTTTCACAGGCAGTAGGTAGTGTTGCTTCTTCAGCCCCCTCAACACTCATTGTGCTGAAGTTTACTTATTTAGACAGCAAGAATGAATAATGATCACAACAAATCAAATCTCATTAACTTGTAGCTGTTTTAACATCAGTTTACTTGTTTTGGTTGCATTTGTACACTTCCTCCTGTATTATTATCATATTTTTGTGATATAACACACCAATTTGTGCATTTTTAAATCACTAAAACCAAGAAAAATTATGCTTAGCTAACAATGGTGGAACTTTCTCCAAATTCTTGCTGAGAAGGCACTGAAGGTAATGTGGTGGTTGAAGATACTAGATTTCAAACAGATCTATTATTCTGAAAAACTGCAGGTACTAAACAGAACAAGAACTAGGCTCATGGAATTCTAATGTCACATGTATGTTAAGGAAATACAATTTATTCTATACCTTTGTAAAAAAAAAAAAATATTTCCAAGAAATTTCTCAAGACATGTATAAGTGTAATATATTGTATGGACAAAGTGCAGAGCTATAATAGTTGTACATTAACTGTCTAAGCAGTTGCATAGCGATTTTTGTATCAGTTTTTAGGTTCTTATAATACATACTATTTTAACATATATATGTGTGTGTGTGCACAATGCTTTAGTCATTAATAAACTCAAAACAACTAAGGAAATTCAATTACTTTCTTTTTCTAAGAAATGACAAGTTTGAAGCAAAACCAATATATCTACTAACTAATGCTGAAATGTATGACTACTTAACTTCTGTTATGAGTGTACATGGTTTTTTTATTATCATGAAAAGATCAGTAATCATTATCTGAATCATTAAATGTAAGACATTTTCAGAAGAAAATGAGGTAGGAAACAAAGCCATAAACCTCTGTATCACATACAGTCAAGTCATTTGAAATAAACAGATAAGATAATGTGCATACCGCTTAAAGATAAAATGAGGATAGTAATAAAATATGCTCCAGATCTTTTAAGAAAATGGTTGTCCTTCTCTACTATAACACACTTAAAACTACAATGGATGTGCCATTAAGAAGTGATGACTATCCTTAAGATTGAAATACAACAACATTGGCACTCTTATACGTTTCTATTGTTTGTCCTAAACAGTTAAAGCCCACTAATTTCTCTAGCTGTAATAGGAATGTAATAAAATCAGTAAAAAAAATAACTTGTTGTAAAAGAAAAACAACATTGCAAGAAGAAGTTAACCTGGTAGAAATAATCTTAATTGTGCTAAATATGACACTTATGTAAAACTTCAAATAAAGTACATTAATATACATTGTATTCAAGAAAAAAATGGAATCCAGGTGGATTTTTTTTGCTGCAGAACCTGAATATGGCTAAAACGATAAATAGCTCAGGTTTTAAATTTGTTTAAATTATGAGCACTAGTCAGGTGTCTAAAAAGCAAGGAACTAAAACAAATCAAAACAAAATGAAAAATTATTGTGAAAATGAAAAGAATCTTTAAAAAAATATCTGAGATTTTTAATAGATAAAAAAAAAACACTAATTTTTTTTTAAAGGGACAATTACCACACGACATCTATGACAGCATGATAAAAAGGTGCAGATATTTTTTTGCCAAAGATCTATTTCCATTGTGTCAGGATCTCAAGGATTTCCTTCCAAGTTCCAGTAATAACTACCAAGTAGTTGGAATGTTCTCATTCAAATATGCAGGAACAGCTTCACAAGTGTATTAGTGTTGGATGGATGAGTTTTAAGTTCCAAGCTCCTAGCCACATAAGGTACTGACAACAGACATGTTTAACGAAACACATTCCACAATGGCTGTTGTCCATTTATTTGTGTGGGCATCCATTCACTTGTTCAAGATCTGGATAATACGAAACTATGGGAAGTTTTCAGTAAACCTAAGGTTTACGTGTTATATCTTTTCCTTGCTCTCAGTAAAATGTTAATTCACATACGTATGTTTGGTAGAATGGAAAACATTATATAAAGTGTAATGTGTATCTTTACTAACATAAATATAAAACTGTGTGTAAAAATACCCGCTTCCACTGATGCAAGAACCAAACCTGGTTAATCTTCCGCAGCAGTTCTCTACTGCTAACAGAACAAGAAGTGTACCAGACTTGGTTAAGGAGACTTACTGATTCTTATCAGGTCTGAACAGAAGAGTCCCAAGGAAAATTAGCGGGTGATAAAGATGCGTGGCTGAGAGAAGAAGTTGCCTGAACTTCACAAAGTGGCTTAGTAATGGAGTTCTGGTGTGAAACCCCTTCCGCTGCTGACTGTGTACTGGCCTGAGACTGTTTTTGGTTGTTATCACCACACTCGTGCAGTAGTGGAGGAGTAGCAGACACGTGATCACCAATCTCAGTCCATCCTTCACTCGCTTTCTTGTCACTTGACCTGTACCTGACTCGATTCTTGGGCACTGGTAGGCAATCATCGGTGACCCCTGTTACACACTAAAGAAGAAACAAAAAATGAGATAAGACTAGAAAATTATTACACAAATATATTTTGGTTAAAATGAAAACATTATATCAAAACCGTTTACAGTAACAGAAGTTATTCTATCTAATTCCTATTAACAAATTAAAATTATTCAGTCTTGTAATGAGTTTATATTTTGTTACATGTAAAGGTCTGATTAATTTGCTTTTCCTGCAAAAGATGTTTTAATAATGTGATATTTATTATTTACATTTTTGCAACACAAAACATAAAAAAATATTTTTTTACAGGCCTAACTTATCTGCATCCCATGCTTCATCAATAAATACTCTCACAAAGAGAATTTCATAAAAAAGTCCTAGTTTGTGTCTTTAAAGTGCACGAAAAACCTTCATGAGAAAAAGACAATGGAAAAAAAAAAAACTACACCTAAACTCTTAATTTTTAAATCATAACAAGTGATGTTCAAACAACAAACAACAGTCTACCCATGCTTCTCATTAAGGAGACCCCACAGAAAGCCTTGCTAGTCAGCCCAGTGAAACTCAGAAAGAATGCAAGTCAAAGAGATCACCATGCCCATGAAGATGCATACTCACCACATGACACAACTTTTTAGTAACTGCCATCTGCATGTTTTAATCAAACATGTGCTTTTTTTCATCAAAATAGTTATGCTTCTTTATTATAAATTATCTCTAGTAACTGTCAAGGTTTTCTATTCATTCGTAACTATTAAACCCCTTTGTGTGTGCCACTAAACTGCTTTCCAGAATTACTTTGTATTCCACTTAAACTCACAGTTTCCATGGTTTTACTAAACATCACTGGTAGAACTACTGTTTGACTTTCAGTGTTCAATCTATGCAGTACGAGCTAATAATGGTTCATTTAGAGATGTGCATGTGTTTGTTACTTGAGCATATTACAATTAATTTGTAATAAAAATTATTTTCACTGATTTACTACGAAAACAAAAAATCACACTTCTAAAACTACCTGTGGATTTTCTGTAATGTGGACTTCAGAATTCCATGGTATTTGGAGTACATTACGACTACTACTCATCAATGGATGAGTACAACCATTTATTTTACAGCTGCTCAGATCATCAGGATAACCACCCTAAACAAAACCAAAACACACAAGTTTATATTCTAATCAAGGTATAGCACATACAATAAGTGTATCACTTATTGTATAAATGGTATTCATATGTATGTGTGTGTGTATTGGATCATTATGATTGGCAAAAACGTGTTACAAGTAACTTGAAAATTAACTGTCCCCCGAGTTGTAGCATATTCCTAAAGCTGAAAGGATTTATAGTATCATCTAAGAAAAATATTTTCTTCATCATCTTTATAAATGTGATAAACAACCTTCAACATTTTTCCTTTTTCAATCCATTTATATCTGTAATTAGTATTAAAACATCCCCCCTTCACAAAGTATTGAATTTCCCCTGAGGCTTCACAAAAATCAATTCCTATCTGTGTAATGTTTTCACTATATCATAATAAGAAGGGGAAGTTCTGATTAATTGGAATATTTGACTGAAAAAATTCCATAATGTTGTTTTGAAAAATTAGGTGTGCCCAATTCTTTAAAGTACTGTGTCCTTTGAAAAAAATATGTACAGAAATTCTAGCACAAGGCTTGCTATTACAGACATTGGAGATCCTGAGTTGGCTTACAGTTGCTCAGTTCATGTGGTATTTCAGGTACTAAGCTCTCTTGAAAATCAAATATGTTTATAAACAAAAAGGCCTAATCATAGGTTTATGATGTTATTTAGTAAAATGAATGACTTGATAATAAAATGTCCCCCGAATGGGTCAGCAGTAAGCTTACGGACTTACAACACTAAAATATGGGGGTTCGATTCATCGTGGTGAACAGAGTGCAAACAGCCCATTGTGAGGCTTTGTATTAACATAACTCATTATCTAAGTAAAATTCTACAATTAATATATAAATATATATAAATGTAATTGTTGTGACTATAGTACTAGTTTATTATGAAAGCTGGCAAATGTAGTACAGCATAACTCTAGTATTAGGCCCAACGTTCTTTCAAAGCAAAAATCTTGGAACTTGAAGAAACATACAGATTTTTTTAGTAAATTTTGATGATAGATTAAAATATATATACATTTACCTATACCAGTACAGCATTTTGATAGAATAAAAGAAATTTCAAGTCTTCCTTTCAAGTATGAGTTAATTATGTTTTGCAGCTGAATAACATATCAATAACATACATTAGATGTCTGTGATATCAATGTAATATAAACTAGGGTATACATAACTCACAATCATTAAAACAGCAGTGTTTTAATAATAATTTACATATTTAAGTTAATGAAGTATGAATTTTTAATAAACCAAAGGTAAAACACACTACTTAGCAATATTATGCAACAACCTTATGAATTTTTTTATTAATTCTACTCATAATCACTGAAATATTTAGTAAACCATAAAACAGTAGAATAAGCATTTTCAATATTAGAAGCATTATTGAAATAAACGAAATAATTAGGAATTTAGGATGTACAATTTCCACATACTTATATTACAAACTATGAATTATTACTATTACTATGAATGAATTAGAAATCAACATGAAGCACAAACCTGTATATCTGTTTTTAAATCTTTATGAAGATAATAAATGCACAAGTCTATCAAATTTCAGTAACTTTTCTTTGCATACAATTTGCAGGCTTATACCGATGGAAACTGAATGCCTTACTTCAAATATTATGATTCTAGTTATCATAAAAGTGAATAAATAAAATATTTAATGATGGGGTGGGGGGTATTAATAAAGACAATTAATGCTACTATAAAGTATAATACAGTTTCATGCATTTACTAAAATGCAACCAAATGAGATTACAACTATCGTGAATTCATGTGATACAAGAGAATAAAATTACTGTTTACAAATGGTATCCATTGAGTAGACCACCAAGTTTAATGCTTATAAGAAAACATGTTACTACTTCCAGGTAAGAAACAAACAAAAATAAAAATTGTGGTTTGCACGGATATCTGAAACTAGGCAGATCACTCTACATTACTACTGAGAATGAAGACCACTGTTTTAGTGAAAATGAGACACATAAAGGATTTTTTTATATATCAGAAGCCGTAACAATGTTGTATTTCCTAACAAGCAATATTTAGTAAAATATCAACTTACTTTGGTATCCAAATGGTTGTCTAACACTGCATTTGGTACATGATTCAGCATTGGTGTAAAGCAATCCAATTCCTGAGATTTAGCATTGGCTTGTTGTTTGTCATTATGGAAACCTGAAAGATGACCATTCTGGCCATGGCCATGACAAGAAGAGTAGCGGATACCAAATGGAGGTGGTGGTATAGGTGGGCAACACCTGTAAGTGATGAAAAGGAATTATTTCTTTACTGAACTTTCATTTCATATCCCTCAGAAAATTATTAACTAGGTGTAACTTGAAATTTAATGACAAAATATAATAACAAGCATACCAATGGCCATACATACTACTTGCAAATAAATTACAAATTCTTGAGAACTATTCTCCCAGTAACTTAGCAAAAAGCATGACAGCCTAGAATTCAGGAATTGATCTCCAAGGCAGACACAGTGTAGACAGTCAATTGCACAGCTTTGCATAAAAACAAAAAAAGAAGCCTAAATTTGGAGTATATTAACATAACATAATGTTTTGAGACAACATGGGACCTACTGGTCCATCTCGGCTGTTCCATTCTCTGAACTAAATAAATTTTTCTTTAAATCTTAAAGCCAGCCCTTATCATTTATATACTTATCAAGCTTTTTCTTAAACTCACTTAAATTTACTGCCTC